GCACTCTCTTAATGATAATACCTTTCTAAAGTTTATTCTTGTTACTGCTCATTTTTTAATACATTACAATGTCTGTAGCCAAAAATAATGTTTAAATCTCTCTTAACTTCCGTCAAATTAAATAGAGCAAAAAGGAAATTAGAGGTGTTTCTGAGAGTGAGGTTTGTTGTGGGCCTTGCGAGTATTGAAAGCTGGCTGGCAAATCCGTGTAAAAGCAGTGCAGGAGCCCGGTTACTTGTGTGGGTCTTACTCAGTTTCAGTCATCAGTTTTATGGTGGCCTGAGAAATTATTGTTTATGAATTTACTTATTGCTACTGTAGGCTAATAAAAGGTGAAAGTACCGTGTGAGTGCTTGTACCAAGGGGGATTTCCACACAATTTCCAAAATTCGGCTCCAGCTTTTGTCAAATCTCTCCCTTGGAAGCCTGAAATATTCAGTGGCTTTGTGTGAAGAAACATTCATATGCTGGATTTCAGCCATTTCTCTCAATTGAGTGAAAGTTACTTTAAACAAAATCCTGGACCCAAAGTGGAAGTGTTAAGATATTTGACATCAACTGTACGCAGGTACAGAATTGAGTTTTGATCTTTTACTTCATTCGTATGGCAGAGGCTTGTGTGATTAGTCTTAATGGGACCAGACTCTTAATGGGAGAGCTTATGAACAAGTGCTTGCATGTATAAGGATTGCTGTCTGGTTGCTGGTAAGTCAGTTCTGTCTTTTGAACAGAAAGAATGAAAGCTCTTGTCTCCGGCAGCCTTGAATTGCGTTTCGTTTGAAATCTGACTAGAAAGTTTGTTATGTGACTCGATGTGAGCAATAAAACCAAACAAGGCAGTCGTTTCTGGTGAAAATCCTCCTAATAGGACTGCCTGCTTGTGTAGTATGCCATTTTCTGCGGGAAGGGGCTTTCTTAGGTGTTTAAGTGGTGAGAGGGCCTGGTGGGTAAGAACACCTACCAGAAAGGGCTGTGAACAACAGCTCAGCCTGGGCAAAATAATGCAAGTTTGGGCATCCACAAAAGTGTAAAAAGCTTTAAGGCTTTCTTCTAGCATCTTGTTTTCTCAAGGAAACTGTATGGCAAGCTGCGCAACCAAAATGGAGAATATTTTATGTTCAAAGCAGTCACCTAATTGCATCTCCCAGTCGCTGGGCTATGGCATATTTACTTAACGGTGCTTTCTGTTATCCAGCATGAATTGCACTCACCAGCATGTGTGTGAAGCCCAGTGGTGTAACCACCACATCTTTCCAGTCCAGCATGTTTGCAGCAGGGACTATGAATACTCACGATAAATTTATTGTAGCTTGGACTTAAAGCAGAGGGGAAAACTCTAAATAAAACATTTGGAGCCTGATTTTGGCTCCTGCCGCACTAAATAAACTATGAGTCAAGGACAACATTTGTTCTTTTGGGAGCTTGGCCTTGTTGCCTGTACACCAAACGCAGAACTAAAGAGGCTGGTGGATGAAGGAAAATGAGACCAAAGGTCCTTGTTCTATTCGCTGTCAAGCTTTCTCGTTTGGGGGCTGGGGAAGGTGGAAATTAAAAATAAAACAGTTTATCCTAATTCAAATAGTTAATGCCAGAGCGTAACAGTGCAAAGCGGTGATAGGAATGTGTGCTCCTGTGACTGGACATTTAGGGGATGGATTAAGACAGTAGCTGATGATATAACAGCAAATTTGATCCAATTTGATGCTTTTTTGTTGCTTTGCTATATAGTTCTGGATAGTCCTCATCTTCATAGGTGACTGAGGACCACTGGAGGATTTTTTTTTTCCTATTGTTTTAAAAACTGCCTTTTGGGAGTTTCAAAGAGATTGTATTTCAGGCATTCTTCATACTCTTTTTTTTTTTTTTTGTAATTAGGGTGTGTGGCACAGTGAAAAGCTGTGAATGGTCCTACTGACATCAAAAGCAGCAGCAATAATGTTCTGATGACTATGGGCAGAACAAGTTTCTTGCTTAATTTTCCTACTTTTCTATAGCTTATTCCAAAGTCCATACTTGGAGGTTTGTTATTCCTCATTGAAAATGTGAGCTGTGCAGTTTATTTAGGTTGGACAGTTGCATCATGGGCTGAGTGCAGTTTATGTAGCATTCACTCTCTGTGGTTGCCTGTTTCTTGCCAGCAGGTCCTGCTTGGTGGGCAAGAAAGCACCCAAACTCATGCAACTGGAGAGCAATAGAAAAATGAGGCTATGTTTTAGGGATTGGTAATTGTTTTGGCAGAGATGTGTTCATAACCTTGCCATGAAAAATAGGTAAATGCTGTGGCATTGAGCATTTTTTTCAAGAGGGAGTTAAAATGGGAATCCAAGCTCCAGGTGGGGATGTTTGTTGGCATGGTTGTCCAGCAGAGCGTCCAGACCTTACACAGAATCTGAGAAGAAATTCAGTAGCAGATGGGAGTGAGAAAGAAAGTATGTTGGACAAGGGAGAAATATCTGATCAAAATGAAGTTCTGAAAAAAGCAGCGCATGGAAATCAAATGCGTCCAAGACAGTTAAAGGAGACATCAAGGCAGTTACTAGGCAGAATGATATGGGGAAAAATGCAAAAAACATGAAAGATATGGCTTTTAGTTTTTTACTTTGGAGAGGTTACAACTTCAAAAGAAACCGACTACAACAACATAAGATGTTTCTCCCTCACGCTGAAGTGATTTGGCCATAGGTGCCCGTGTTCTTTTTATAAATTTGTCCTCTGGAGGGTTCGAGTCCTCCTAAAGCTCACTCCAGGCAGCCAGTCAAGCACGTTCACCTCAATGATTAGCGAGAGGCCTGTGGTGTGCTGAAATATTATAAGGAGCCTATAGAGGAACTCATCATGAGCCAAACAGGTTACTGCCTTGGCAGGATTCCTCTTACTGGTTTGTGAAGATAAAAGGAGGACAGGTAAAGGTTAGTATTTCAAAGTAAGTGTCTTGGATCGTAAAATATTTGGTGAAATTATTCAAGAATAGTTCATCCAAGTGAAAATAGTTTCTGTGTATTGCTGTCAAGGTCAATGAAAGCTAAAGTCAGATGCTGGCCAAGCAAGCAAAAACTGCCTGTGGGCTCCCATCACTTACACACCTGGTAACTCTGAGCTTGACACAAAGAGTGTGGGGAGCAGCACTGGGAACTCAGAGGCTTTTTTGGGTCAGCTTCGCTGCTTTCAGTTGAGCTAAAAACCTCAGTGTCATAAGGACTACCCAGCACGTACTTCAGGAGAGCTGATGTGACCCTCTGAGATCCCACCCTCTCCAGGTTCGGGCTCTCCAGCTGCCCACCCTGTGCCAGAGTTTCACATCCCACCCAGCCCAGACCTGTGGGCCACCAAGGTAGATACCTGACTGGCCACCAGTTATCTGCTTCAGCTCACATCCTGGTGTGTTATTTACTGTTCCCATCATGATATATGGGATAAGTGGCTCCTCTTTCAGTATGAATTTAATCCTTAAACATCCAAGTTTTCAAACAGCTGAGATGTCAGGTGTTTTTGAGATGTAGGGGACCTTCCACCTGTCAGCTGTGGTGCAGTCACACCAAGCCAGGGATTTTGACAGAAGCTGCTGCTGTGAACACAACTGGTGCACGGGTTCTGATTGCTCATCTGGAGCTGCTAACAAAAAGCTGTTTACAGGGGCTGAAAGCTTTTGGAAACCAGCTCCTACTTAGGAGCCCGTGTCATAGCTAACAGCCCTTTGCCTGAGCAGACTGAGTGCCAGCCCCTATTGACCATGTCTTTTGAAACCCCTAGCTCAAAACATGGATGTCTCTGCTGAGCACCCATATGAGGAATAAACACAAACATTTGCGGAGGTTTCACGGGTCCTGCTCCTGATCTTCTGATCCTTTAAGACCTGTCTGCTAAGTTGTCAGGTGTAAGTGCTCAGGCTTCAGGAGCTTACTGAAGAGAAGATGCTAAGGAATGGTTGTTAACAAAAGCACATCCCTCAGGCAAAGGAGGAAGAGGTACAGGAGCTGGACTTTTAGTAGGGTTGTTCACTAGGACTCGCAAGAGCAGGCAAGATGAGATTTCTTTATCTTTTCCTACAGCATAGTAAATCTTTTGAATTTAAATTTTAGAGGTGGTTATTTGCAAGCTGAAAATATCTATTAGGTCCTTACCGAAGGGATGTGCCAGCATCTGAGTACAAAACGATCCTTCCATGATGTATGTATCTCCAACTTCAAAAGTGAATGAAAAAGGTGAATAATGTACTGGGCATGATAATGATTTGGACACCTTAATGTGTGCAATTCATTAGGAATAAGAAGTGTGTTTCTTTTGGGCAATTTGGCAATTCAGTACGTGATCAAATTATTGCAGAGTTTCTTCGTTTTCTGAGGAAATTGGGTATGGACACCTGCTACCCAGTGTAGGAACAGGGAAGGATATCTATTTGTAACGGGTGTTACTAATCTCTGGCTAGAGGTGTTTAATGAAGTCTATTTGGCATATAATTCTCAAGAAGTCCCATGCATCCTGTTTTCCTAAGGCATCTGTGGTGCTGGGTGATGCGCAGAGTTTGGTGCATCACTCAACATGAGAAAGCAGATGCAAAAGCACGATTCCAGGCACCATTCCACTTGCTGTGAAGCAAAGGGAGCTCTTCTTTGGTGAACTGGAAAAAAAAGAATTGGGCTACGTCTTCAGTGTCAGTTTGAATCTCGTCTTTGTTTTCTGCCATTTTGATGTTTGAATTTTGTAGCATGCTGTGTGATTTATTGGGCTTGTAAAATGAACATACTCCAACTTAAAAATCTACATGTTCCCGTCTGTACCCTGAGGATATCTCAAAAGGGGGGATTCAGAAACTGGGGGAAGAAAGGTTTCATGAATTCTGCAAACTTTTTCCTTTGAGTGCTTTTTTTTTTTTTAATACTTGAGTGGCGCTTACGAATTACTTACACCATCCGTTATAATTTAATGCATTACACAATAAAGAGTATCTGCTGTTCTTTGTGTATTTCAATACCAATGCTTTCCTTATCTATTTTCCCCAGCTTGCCACTCCGTGCAGTAGAGGTTCTGTCATGTGATATTACTCCACGCAGAGGGAAGTCGGAGCAGCCCTGCACGCTGCTTTACACCACTGGTAAGCAGTCAGAGGATTTGCTTTGGTCACAAATGTAGTTTCACATCGTGCATCTCTCCCCTCTCTCACATTGAACATAGCAGTTTCAACAACTGCAAATTCAGTGGTTGTCAGCTGCATCAGGATTTGAGTTAATAGCTTGTGTCTTTCTTTGGAATAGTGTTTTCAGCCCTAATATTCGTTTGTAGATGTTCCAGACTGTGCTCACTTGTAAATGTGTGTGTGCAGCTTCTGCTAACACCGATAACTATCATTTCTCATGCTGAGTGAATGGTAGACTTTTATTAGTTGTCCTCTAGATTTTACTGTCTTCCTTCAAGATCAGTGTAGTATTCTCTACACACTTGAAGACCTTTGCAAAATAGGAGCTGTTGCTTTCTCACTAGTTGTATTTCAGGTTGCCAGGTATGTATTGTCAAAACACCCAAACCATTGTATCACAGATGAGACCTGCATATATCAGTTTCCTTATTTCTATACCTGTGACTTCAAAACTCTTTACTAAATTCTTCTGAAATATTTTCAGGAAGAAAGGAAAACAGGAAATACCTCAGGATGGACTCTTATGCTGCAGAGTAGAACCATCTCACTTTCCTTTAGGATACGTTTTAATTTGTCCTTTAGGTTTGCCTTCATTGGACAGTTGATTCCATCATTAAATAGTTGGCTAAAACGGCTCTGTGTATATGGAAAAGGAGTCTAGACACCCAATTTTTAAATGGCTTAAGTTATGTAAAAATAATTAATTTTTTATGTCTTTGCAATACTCGTGGGCAATTAACAGTTCTCCTTGTCCCCTACCCTGCCCTGTATTTTTCCAATGCCTTTATTTTATATACAGTTGTGGACCCTGTACCAGGAGCTGTACTTCTCTATAATGGGTGTGATTTGTCTCATATGGGAATTCTGAATAAAATTACCAATAACTGTACTTACATTCAATTAAATCTGTTTCAACTTTCACAGAATTTAGCCACTCAGTAGGGAAATCCTCTCTGCCACGTTTAAGGAATGGCAATCGATACACGCTCACTGGTAACATGTCTGCAAATTTCAAAACACTGTAAGGAGTTAGGTGATGTAGATGACTCTTTCTTAGTAAACTGCAGCCTGACAGCTTTGCTTAGCTATAACCAGTTCCCATTCATGTTGTTCAAAGTCAAATTCTATCAAGCTGTTTAGTTGTTTCTGACTCAGAGTGTCAGAAATCGTCAAGCGCCCCATTCTTGGGAGAGGAGCAATCTGGACACCATCAGAAAATGAGCAGGACAAGTTGTCTCGGGTTACACTGAGAAAAAACATCACAGTCTGGGGGTGAACTGAATGGGTACTCACCTCTTAAAACACTGTACGCTCGCACAGGCAGGATAACATTACAAAAACAACTTGGCTTATCCACTGAAGGGAAGTTTCAGATTTGTGTATGCATATCAGGAAGATATGAAAGGCAACCTGTGATTCTGTCAAATTGTTCTGTGCAGGAAAACATTGAGCTTTGCCTGTGGGAAGCTCAGAATCAGAGCTGCGCGGGTACAGGGGAGTCCCATCACCTCAGCTTCACCCATGTCCCTGCTTCTGCAGCAGGTAAGCAGGCGGCGGTGGGAGAATGGGGAAAGTCTTTCAGCTGTAGTGCACTCACCGGGCAGCGTGAGACTAGTAGGCGACTCAGAGAGATGATAGCAGAATGTGTCTGCAGGTCCTTAACCAGGCTGGCCCATTAACGCTGCATGTAGTTACCTGCTTTGGCCAGCTGAGAGGTAAAAGGTGAAGCTTTCTTGTGCTTTTCCTTTACACATGGAGGTTGAGCTGGACTTGTATTAGGACCTTGGATGTATTAGAGCTCAAACATGGGTTTAGGCCAACCTAACCTATGCTGGATAGACAAAGCCCTGTCTCTGTCATAGGGGTAACTCGATTAACGCCTACTTCTTTCTTAATAAACCAGTCCCCTGCCTCCCAGTGAGCAGGTAAGGAGTGAAAATAAAGTTGCCTTTATGGTTGTAACAAGCCGGGAATAAAATGACTAGGATGACAAATGTGGGTCAGGATCTGTCAGAGCTCACAAAGGACCCAGAACCAATCAACATGATTTCCTCAGCTGTGAATACTCAAGTCAGACAAATGTATAATGCATCCAACTCTCTCTAACGTGTATGTGCAGCTTCCATGCTGGGACTACACTCCAGGCTTTTGAAGTTTAGCCAGTAGCCACCGTATTTCTGGCTGTTTAACACTTGCTAAAGAAGAACTGAATAGTATCGGGCTGAATTATAATTTTTGCCCTGGGAAAGAAAGAGAGAAAACAAAAACTTAGCCAGACCAGTGGAAAGCCCTTTGGAATAAGAATTATTTTATACAGGAAAGATCTAAAAAGATCAGATGTGATTTTTGTTCGCATATTGAAGTGGAAGTGACCTGTGTAACAGTACAGTTGGTGAAGGTTTGTTGAGGTAGGAGGCATGTGTGAGGATGGCTTGGAAGGAATCAGTGGATGGGAAATGAAGCACGTGGCGAAATCAGAAATGGGAAAAATCAGCACAAAAGTTTAAGCACCCTGTGTGACGTATAGTGCTGTTGTAGAATGAAGCAGACTTTGTGGATATCTGTGATGTTTTATAATACTTCTTAAATAAAAAGTCTCTAAGAATATTTATCACTTCTCCTACTTTCCTCCTTTCACTCCGCTATTTTCTTACCCTGTAACTGGAGGAGGTGCTTTTGTGTCTCTTCTTCTTGCCTTTTTTTTTCCTGCACAGTTTTAGACACCTTAATTGTGGGTTATGCAGTTTGCTTCACTTGCCATTTCAGGAGGCCGCATCAGCCATCCCACCAGGTAGCATTGTCTACAAGCAGCTCTGCAACCTTTTCATCCTGCTCCCTTATTTTTGTTACACTTGGTGTAGCAATGCCATAGGACATTTTAAGTACGAATTGGTATTCCTTGTGGTATGTCCTCGGGTCTGTTATGCTTAGGGTGTTTGCGTTACCTGTTTAGACACCCACACGCGGTGTGGTTATTTTTGTTTGTGACTGAACGCAGGCTGTACAGCGGATGTCGCAGGAGTATGTTTAGAACTTCCATTGATCTCTTTAGCTACAAATAATCATTACCGTGGCAAAGCAAACAGCGGATCAAAAATGCAGGAACATAGCCCAAAGGGCGCTGCTCACTTTTCCTTCTGAAATACACGACACGCAGGTTTGAGGTGTAGAATAGCAACTGCTGAAAGGTATTAAACAAGAAAACAACACAGGATATCAAAAAATTAACTACCTGTCTTTGGTTCTTTAAAAAAAGAGAATGAGATAAAGGTACAGGCAGTGATGGGAAGTTGGTTGTCTTGTTCAGTTCCTCAGCACTAGCATAGCATAAGTCCCCTGCTGCAGTTTTGACTAAACACAGGTTTTTGCTTTGCCGTGCTGTTGCTGTGTGACAGTTGCACAGTTTGCCTGTGCCATGCCGGAGGTGGCTTTGTTTTGCCCTGTCCGTGGGGATGCCATGTATATACACGTAGTTTGAGTTTATAGACATGTCCTGTGTTCCTGCGAGGTAACACATAAAACTGTTTATCTTCTTGCTTAGTTTTATGTAGTAGCTATTTGTCATGGAGAAACCTGAGCTTAAGAGAAGAATTGCCTGAAAGTTTAAACCCAAGCTACATTAGATTGCAACATCCTAACTCCTGAGTCCCTGGGCTTAAGAGAAAGTAAACTTTCTGAGATCTGGTCCAATGTGAGTGTCCTTTTCATGGGAAGAAGTGACCCAGTGCCTCCCTCCAAATTCTGTTTCAGCTCTTTTGCCTGGGTGTAAACCTGGGCAAGTCACAGGGGCAGTTCTGTGTCTGCAGCAGGGATGGTGCTGGCTCCAGCACTGTTCCTCACCATCCCATCTCCTTCCTACGAGCCATGCTGAGAGTCTGAGTTCAAAAATAGCCCAGGGTGGGTGCAGACAGCCCCGTGTCTGTGAGCATGTGCTGTCAGAACCGCATGTCACTGCACCCTGCAAAGGACGAGCTTAGGTCGATGCTAGCTCGGGGAGGTCAGCACTTGCGCTGCTTCAGCCCCTTCCGTCATATCTCTCTGCTTTGGTCCTCCCTCAGTCCAAAGATTCATTTCCTTTCTTCCATGAGCCCTTCCACAGATAAAGCATTGACAAGTATGATGCCAGTAGCCACTGCGGTACAGGAGGATTGTTTGTATGTCTAAGAGATTCAGATGTAGATTATTGCTAGTTGAAACTTGTCCTACAGAGCCAAGAATGCTTTTAGGTCCTCCTTAGCAATACTTCTGGTCCTCATTAGAAACTGGTGGTTTGCATATTTAAAATAATTGTTCACAATAACTGCTGTCCAGAAGAAAAACCTGAGAAATATGTAGAGCATAAAGCAGCGTGATATAACAGCAGCGTGCTGGGTGCCATATTGTCTTTGGCTCTGTCCGCTCTGTGCAGTTGGCCAAGCACTTTCTGCAATATGGTGTGCCTGCTAATGATGACAGTGGTTTATTGGTAGCACTGCTCAGTCTTTGAAAAGTGGGGGAAAATGTGTCAGGAGTTCATGCCATCGTAGCACAATTGTTTGGGGATAATTATTGAATGCACACAAGAGCAGCGTTTTTTTTCCCTGTACATGAACTGTAGTTGATGTTGCGCTATTTTGGTTTTGTTTTCTGCTTAACATTCCTCTGTAAGTGCAGCTCCTCTGAGGCTTGAAATGAGACACACAAAACTGAACCAAAGTGACTTTGTTTTCCGTGTGTAAGGGGATGGACGCTGAGTGATAATGACATATTTTGCGTGTGAGCAGCAGGTGCGAGACCAAGTGTCTACTGCGGATTAAAGTAAATATGTTTTTTCTATATTTAACTGATATGTGACAAAGAAACAACGTTTAAATGTCACTTTCCATGGTTTTTTGTGTGTCTATAATTATACATTCTAATGTGCCAAGTAGCTACTCACTGAAGTTCAAATTTACATAGTAAAGTTGTGCATAACAAGACAAACAAGATACAGTCTAGCATTCATCTCCATGCATCTGGGCTGCCTCCACCCAGCAGTTACACTACCAACAAATGAATGTTTTCTGCTTTCTTGAGTTCACATAAATAGCTGTAAATTCCTATAATTAACTATGATAAGTCACTCCCCGCTATTAAAACAAAGACGTGTTTGTTTATCGGTCATACTTGCATCCACCACTCTTAACATTACGGTGTCGACTGATGTTTTTTCACTGTGTTAAACAAAGCAGAAATATTCCTGTTGGGCAATGCCGGAGTCCCAGGAGCGGCCTCAAAAGCAGGAGCACCAGGCTGTCGCCCGCTGAGTGCTCCATTTCTCTGCTGGCGGCCCTTCCTTCCCCTCGCCCCGTACTGCACCCCCTCCACGAGACCGTGGTGTTTAGGTGGGCAGCTACAGCACTGGGGAGCAAAGCAGCGGCCCAGAAGGGGAGAAGTAAATAAATGGAGATATCAAGATGCGTTAGTTCTTGTAGGTCCTAAAAATAAAGCACTTCTTATGAACAACATCTGATTTTCCATGTGTCAGGCCTAAATTTAGTCAGAGGCGATTTGTGGCAAAGCTGGTCCAAAGTTTTCTATGTTGTGTGTTTTTTTTTGGTTTTTTTTTGTGTGTTTTTTTTTTTAATGACATTAAACTTATATTGGTAGTGATATAAATATATATATATATATTACTTTTTCCTGCTGAAATATGCATATTTTCCTTTTGTTGTGGAGGCTAGGGGCACCAAATTTTGCCCCAATCCTCCTTTTTCTTCTCCATTATATTTTTATTTTATAAGCCTACTCTCAGTGCTTAGTGGAAACTTCTTTCACTTATTTCTTGCAGTCCTTTGTCTTCTGCAGGCTGAGGCTGTGCTCAGGTTGTGCCTGCTGTGGCAGGACATGCTTTTCACAGCTTTTAGTGTCTCAGAAGTAATACATCCTAGGAGATACAGACCATAGAACTAAATTAGGCACCCAAATTACAACTCTCATGAAATACTGAAAAGGGAGGGGGAAGGGAGAGGAACTCTAACAGTGACAGTTTTGTTTTGCCTAAATTTTCCATGGAGAAGTATTTCATAAGTTATGTCAAATGGGAAAGCTGGTTATGTATCTCTGTCTGCATGGGTAGAAGATCTTCTGTGACAGACAGATTGCGAGAGTGGGGGTGTGCACTAGTGCCACGATGCTGGTAGCAAGCAATGGGGTTTGTTCTGTGCTTTGCCATCTCTTCCCAGCATATGTTCATGTTAGTCATGTTAGGAGTTTAGTCAAAGATTCGCCCTTTAGAGAAAATAGTGGTAACGGAGAACTTTGTATCTTTGTCTGGAAGAGATTAATCGCTGACGATCCTGAATAACAGGGATGCTCAGAAACATGCATTATGAAATGCAGGGCTGCTGATGACTGCCCGTTTGTTGGTCATCAAAGAAGTATGAAGCAATTTTCTTTCAAGGTGGTTTCTTTGGATAGCAGAAATAAAAGTCTTTCCCTTCTGATTTCAAAAGCAGACTGTATGTAGTTGCTTCGTTCCTTATGGATTTTGTTAGACATAATTACCATGCATGAACAGCACA